ATAAGAACCCATCTTTTAAGGCTTTGCGCTCTCGGTTATTATTAGGGTTGCTGTTATAATAAGTCTTTCATTGAAAAAGTGTCAAGTCAAAGACGCAATATTTGGGTTTGAATACATAGTTTTAGAGAATAGCATAGCGCTAGTGGAGAGATGAGATCAGATGTCATTATGCAGAAAATCGCACTATAATGTCTTTTCGCGTATTGTGATCGTTCTTCATGCAATGATCGTCTCGACGCGATGGGAAACAGTGTATCGAAAGCATTTTTCGTTGCCCTACACATTTCAAAAGCACTGTCCTGCATGTTAAACGAAAAGTAAAAGTAAAATGTTACGCAAACAAATTTTTTGAAAGTTCGGCAAAAAAATGGCATAGGAGACGCTAACAAATAATTCTAACAATAGTATTTTCACTTGTAGAAATCGTAGAATTATTCAAGAATATAAAATACTCGTTGCACCTTGATGACATGTTATATATGTGAACTTATGATGTTAAGTCAAGGAAAAAGTTCGTGGCAATATACTTTCAATAATATTTAAGCACGATAATCTTATAAAACTTTCGTCTAGATGTTCTACGACAGCCTGGACAAAGGCTTAGCTGTGCACAAAGATCGCTGACGAATCACGAGAGTTAAAAGATGGTAAACCTATTATTTTTCTTTATTAATTAGATTTCATCTCTGTCTACAATGGAAAAAACCTGTGCTCTCAGTTAGATTCAGTTTCTAGTCCAGTGAAACCATTTAATTAAGTTATCCTTATTGATTGCAAACAAACATCTAACGATGAGAAGTGGTTTCTATTTGAAAAAGAAAAACGAAAAACGAAAAAAAGTTAATGCTAATTATTCCTGAAAAATGATACAGGAACAGTTCATCTTAGACATCTTGTTATTAAATATTATAACGATATTCTTGACGAGATTAAAACACAAGGCGTATAAGTATGCAAGGTTTTACTAAGAAAATGATTTCTAGTTTATGCTTTATACATATGTATATGCAAATATAATTTTTCATATAAAACAATTACCTCAAAAAACTATTTTGAATAATTACGTTCAACTTTGTTTATGCTATCAGGCGATGTAATAATAAATATTATTCTTTGTTCTATGTCACACGGACACATGCAAGTCTTGTACATTAAATACCCTTTTATTTAGACGAAATAATGATGATTATATTCTTCTGGTAAATCCTCACTCGAGACAATGTCTACATCAATTTTCAAAAATCTTTTATAAATATTTTTTTCAGTTTTTAATCCAATATGTTGAAAAGATAATAAGTTTCTGTTGGACCTCCTAAAGGTATGGAACATCCGGCAGTACTTAAAATTGGCTCACCTTTCTTTTTAATATTGATGGGTTCAAACTTATTTTCGGAATCGACGTAAACTGGTCGGTCCGCTATCTGTCTGGTGTTGACTTATTTGAATTTTTGTGTTCAATCTGAAATATTTTGACGATGTTTGGTATAGCGACGTGTCCTGAGTGAACGACTAATGCTATTGTAAGCGGATCCTTTATCGAATCACGTTTTAAACTGCTCCTTACATAACATGCCACAGAGGATGAACAGAATAATATAAACACTATGCAATAGCGCATGTTGACAACACTGCTTTCATGTACAAGAAAGCTTCCGTTTGAAACTATTTAGCTCCTCCACGAATTTATTCCGCGGAGGATTCCATTTTAAAAAGGCCACTGCTCTTTATCCCCAAAATCGAAAATATTGCATCAAGAAAAAAAGGATTTGTCGCATTTTTTTTGAGAAAATTTTATGAAGTCTTTCCTCGACCTAATACTCTTACATGGGGTAGACTCGTGTTTACTCATTTGAAGAACTATAGTTTAGTTTAAATACTTAAATACTTCTCCAGCTAAGACACTCGACTATAAAAGTACTTTTAATAAAGCAGTTCAAATCGAGATAAATCTTGCAGAAAAAGGTAAATAAGCAAAAGCAAGGAATTAAGTGTAAGCAGGAATACTGCTGAATTAAGTAATATTTTTCCCATATATGTTATACAAAAACTTTTTCCCCTAACTCCAATAAGTTCAACTTTTTTCCTTTACCTTTTAATCTAGCGGCTTATAATAGTGTAGAAATTGAAATAAGAAACTGTCGCCTGTGGGCACTTCTGATAGTACTATAATATTAAAATATAGCTCTCTTTTAGATGTAGATATAAAACCAAGGAATCTCCATGCAGAATGTGCATATTTTAATAGACGTATCAAATCGTCCAAAAAAAAAATTAATATCTAATACTACTTTCTGGTGTAGACTACTATATGGATTTAGACCTGCGATATTCTTTTGGCGGTAAATGTTTTACAAGTAGGACTTTTTTCAGTAACTTACTATTATAGTTAATTTAAGCACAGAAATAAATTTCAAGACTAAAGTCCTAAAGCACTAGTATCTAAGTCTGTCGACTTTATTAAAAACTCTACTGCACTTGAAATTCGAATCCACGGCCTTTGAGAGTTGCTAGCCGAGATTTTTCGCTTTGAGCGATTCAGGCGGGTCAGTAACTTAATTTGCTTAATTTGTAGACTTTAAAATTACATTAAATTATTTATATTTAATTACATCCGTCCCTCAATTTACATAATAACTCATCTACAGGATACCAATGGTGGCCATTATTGGTAGTTCTTACACCTTATTCTCAGACAGAGCAAATTTATTCAATTTCTCAAGATCACGATGCTCCCGATAATATCGCTGTTGATGCAAGTAACTCAGCTGAGAGATAATTACTTCACATGATTCTAGTAGTTGACGCAGAAAGAGCATAAAAAGTTGACTTAATCTAATTCTGTCATTTTTCCACGTATGCCTCATATCTTATTTTGCATGATTATAATGAATACATTCTGTTCTTCTTCTTACAATGTTTATATCAATGTAAACGGCGTACACTCTCATTATATTCTCAATAAATTCTGTCTACGGCTTCAATTCAAATGTTACGCTCGCTTCAATGAGTTACCTTAGATAAGTTACTGCTCGTTTCAATGAACTCTTCAGTTTATTATGAACACATATTCAACTATTTTATGATATTAATTTATAGTTAATTTTAAGTTTTTTAACTTTTCTACGGAATTATACTAAATATATTTTCAAATTTTTTTCTATTTTCTGTTGATGTTTGAATTGTTATGTCGGTTTGCAATGATTTAAACTGACTACATTTGTTTATACGTTTTTTGAAGAATATATCTATCGCGTAAATCAAGAGATGAATGTAGAAATGTATGGTTGTAAAAATTGAACCAAGTACATTTATGTAAAGTGAAAGAATAAATTTGCATCTCTTTAAGTAACATTACATGATCCTTGTATAATTTTCAAGGATTTACTTTTTATATAAAACACGAAAGAACAAATAGGAGTACGGGTTAATGTTTTAAGCATATACTCACCTTGGCACCAAAAAGCGAAATTATGGCACATTGCACAAGCACTTCATAGCTATATATATATATATATATATATATATATATATATATAAATTCATGTGTTTGTATGTATGTATTCCTTTAGACGTTCGTGATTATATAAAACATGACAAGAAATTGCAATATATTTGTATGTACATATAATAGTAATATATTTATATATGTATGTATGTACATGCTGCCTCACTACCTCAATACATACATACATATCGAGGAAATGAAAAGAGGAGTTTGCTAGAACGGTGTCTGCTGCATTATTCCAACAAATGGAAATTCAATTAATTTTAATTTAAAACATTGAATAGACATACATACGCAAACATTACGTTATACACATACATACATACATACATACATGCATACATGCACAAACTTTGGTTTAAAAATCCATATAGGCATAGGTGTGTATAGGGTCAGTCACATCTGCATAGGTCTAAAACAAGCCAATATGGAACAATGACTTTTTTGTCAATCAGGGAATAAATAATTGAAGTGTTATTTTTTGTAACCAAGTCAACGGGCAATTGATTTCAGTGTAGTGAAAATAATATATCTATATAAGTATTATTATTTTTTTTTTTTTTGTATATATACCACCTACTTATTTAATATATTATAGATTTAATTACGAATAAACAATTAAAAGAGAAAAAAAGCGAAATTTGCATACGAGATGATGATTAAAATAATATTTAAAGTGAACGTGTGCGTTTGTATGTGTTTGTGGCTGTGGCTGTGGCTGTGGCTGTGTAACTAAAATCGTTGAATACAACACATGTCATGCTGCGATGAGAGGAAAAGAGAGAAAGCTTTAGTAAATGGATGCTTTTTGGCAGGCACGCAAACTTTTGCATGTACACGTATCGAAATTTCACATATACAGAGCATTCTATATATATATATATATATATATGTATATATATATTTACGTGTATAAAAGTATATATGGAAAACTTATGCAAAACAATGATTTTTATAGTCATTATTAATAATAAACAAAAAAAAAAAAAAAAGAATGAAAAATAAAGAAAAAAACGAAAAGATGCTCTACTAGTTTTTTCATTACAAAAATATGAAACATGAAATCTTGATTAGTTTAAGATGCTTGCGAATCGATTTAGTCATGTTTGTCCCTCCGTCCATTTCTCGTTTTGTCTAATGCACATTGCATTTCTGTGCAAGCGTATTCACGTACAGCTAATGCGTTGTACATAAACGTCGTTTAGGTAAAGAAATTTGGGTCAACAGAATAAGTAAATCAAGGTCAGCAAGAAAGGTACGTACATATATTCGCATATACGCTCCTACATTCTTGTGTACACCATGCATAAGTTAAATGTGTATTAAAAAGAAAGTTCACACACAAATTTTGCACATAAATAAACAGCTGTGTTTTGGACACTTGCATGCACTTTATATTACGATAAAATTGCTTATCGGTGTATGGGATGCTGCTTAGGATTTGTATCCTTTTCTTCAATTTTTTTTAATTAAAACGCAATAATCATTTACTTACCGCATATCTCCAGGACATTCTGCTTGTGTCCTTATCTGAGTCTTATGCCTCGATTTATTAATAAAAAAAAAAAAAAAAAAAAAAGCGTTAACAGAGAAGAGCTTCCAGCAGGATTTTCGTTTATCGAAGTAAAGTTGTCCCTGACAATGTTATTATTGGTGTTGGTAAACAAAAATCTGCCGATATGTTAAAATTGGGCGATTTATTATTTAAAAGACCGAAAAAAAAAAAACGCGCAATTTTTTTTTTTGTTTTTCTTTTTTTTTTTTATATTTTGATTCGTTGTAATGCGTTTTTCTCTGTCATTTACTTTTATGTCTTGTTTGTTTGCTTATAAAGACGTAAACGTAAGCTTGTAAAAATGATTAAATGAATTCAATAAAAATATTAGCAATTTTTCAGCAAAATTGTATGTTTTTCCTTTTTTTCCTTTTTTGTTATTTTTTTATTTTTTTTTGTTTTTTTAATTAAAAAGAACAACAAACACAATTTCAGTACATTAAGTCTTGCGTAGTTTAATATAATTTGATGAATTCGTTTTTATTTTGATACTCAGCTGATTATTTATTTGCTAATTGAAAATAAGTTTGAATGCAAAAAAAGTTTAAAAAAATAAAATTATTTTGTTATTGTTATTATTTAATTTTTACTTAAATTTCGCGTGACGTTCTTATTGCGACTGATTTACTTGGCGGACGATTTTAGCTTAGGGTTGGTTAGTGGGCGCCTAAGCTTTCATTTCTGTGTTTCAATATATGTATATTTCACATTTTCTATGAAAGTTTATTGTATACCTATATGTGTTTTTTTTTTTTTTTTCTTAACACATATAACGCAACAATACATAAACAAACATGCATGCATACATGCATTCATTTAGTTGCTTCTATTGTGTTTTGTCGTTTAGTTTACTTTTCCATCTGTGACGTAGTTGATGTTTAGTTAGCTTTACTTTTAGTTTTCTTTTTCATTTTCATTTTCACTCCTATTGCTTGTTGCTTTCGTTTTGCACTTCTATTGATATTTTGTTACCATATAAACACGTGTTTTAGCTTTTTTTTTTAGCTTCGATTTTCTCTTAAACATTCTGTATACGTGAAAGCTTTCGATATTGGCTGAAAGCTTGTGCCATACCTTGACAGTTGCAAAGTTTGCTTCTTCTCCCCTTTATTTAATTTTTTTTTTTTTGTTTTATATTAATTTCCTTTTCGTTCTTGGTCAGCATCCGAATTTCGTGATTTTTAAAAATCGTTTAATCGCTCGCTCAATACGTCACGGATATTTGTATACTCATGCAAAACAATAAGTATTTTACGTAAACAAGCACACACTTAGTTAATATATTTTTAGTCCGTTCATACTAATCTTTTTAACTTTGCAATAACATCATAATTATTTTCAAACTAGAAATATTTGAGAAATATTTACACATATATTTCAGAAATTCTTTCGTTTTTCTCATTATAATGATTGTTATATTATTAGATATATATATAAGATAAGTGCACTTATTCTATATGTACATTAAAAGAAAACTCTTTCAATTTTTAAGCTCTATTTTGAAAGATTAATTATGTCATGACAGACACATACCATAAGTATTCAAAATCAATCCAGACATTACCAATATTTTTTTTTTTTGCTCATCTTTATCTACACATTCGACTGTCCGTCCAACCTTTCATGTAATTGTTCTTCCATTGAACAATGCTTCTATTTCTTTTTTCTTGTGCTTGTTCCGCAGTTCACTTTCAGATGAATTCAAATTTTTGGCGTCTACATTTATCTGTCTTGATGGCTCAGTCAGACAAGTTTCCTGGAACCATAGTTAATTTATATTAATGAATTATTGCACCTGTCAATTTGCAAAACAATCCTGCAAGAGAGTAAAATTCCAGAATGAAGTTTTGGGTATGGTTCAAACCTTTCTCCCTCTGGTCAGGGCGAAGCCTATACAGCACCTCCAATTATTTAGTGCCTGCGCATTTGGGGATAACCGCAACCAGTACTCCCCGCACCCAAGTTGTCAGGCCTCACACTTCGGTTGAACCCAACCAATTTTAATAAATTGGGTCTCCCCCGCAGACTCATATACTTATTTTTGTATATATACCACTGCACTGTAGGTGCTTTCTCAGTGGTAAGTGTGCAAGCAAACGACCCCTGACACTCTCGATGACTCCCCAAGGAGAGGATCATTTCCATCAATCAATGCTTTTGTTATTTTATCCGTATCCCTATTGATTCGATTAATTAATCTATCGATCTTCCCCATATTAACTAAAATATTCCCCACCAATACCTACGCGTATCCGTCAAAATACTTGCAATTATTTCACGGATAAGCACACAATTATCGAATTGTATTTTACATATATAATATAATTACATCAACGTAGACGACGGCATCTAAGATCTATTATAACCCTCTTAGTTGTTTTCTTTTAAATTCTTATTCGTCGCAATTGAATGCCACGGAAGCCTGTTCATACACTTATTAAATACAAACATATGTATATATATATATAATACTGTGCACATAAAATAAGACCAATATTCAAGTTAAATTGTGCGGGTATATCGAATATTAGAAATATTTCTTTTCTAAGTTTGGTAGCATTGTCGCAGACATCGAAATGTCAAACTTCACAACGTAGACGTCATTAGTATTTGAGCTGCGTTTTATTTTATGCGGCACAAAAACTTTCTTTCCGATTTTTACAATGTGTGTGAGGAGATGATTTCTAACTGTGAATCGGGCATGAAACGCATTACTAGTGGCACTTAGATCTACGCACACGTCTCGAAAGTAATTGAGCAATCGAGCGAATACCTTCACCAAAGTCGCTCAAAAATCAAGGTGATATTAATAATTGTGGCGTTATGCATTGTACATTTCTTCTGCCGAGTCAAATTCCTAAAAAAAAGAATGCTGTTTGAGTTTGAGGGTTACTTTCAAGACAAAAAATAGATGTAGAATGGCCGAGTAGACAAAGGATCTTGACTAACAACTCAATGGTCGTGGGTTCAAATCTCAAAGTGCGATAACGTTTCCAATAAAGCCGGCAGTCTTAGATACTAGTGCTTTCAGACTTAAGACCTAGCATGTAGTATATAACAAAAACATTGGTCTTACTTTCTGTACACCGTATGTAAATATAAATATATGTCCCAATGTATGTAAATGTGTGTAAACGGGCGTCACAGCGCCGCGCTACTGACATTGCCCTCTACTTTGGCTAAAGTTTTGTAAAAAAAAAAAAAAAAAAATTGTAAGCGTCTTTTTATGAAGACAATGAAATGCATTCCATGAACGCATATGGAAATATATGCAGACAAATAGCTCCGTTTGAATCTTTTAAATATTTTCTGTGAAATGATGATAGGCGCCGCTACACAAAGAGATCAAATAAATTTGATTTACAATTTTTTCAATTCTTTCCAAGATTGAATCAGAGAAAGAAATCTGTAAGGCCCAAAAAACACATGTATATATGAATAAAAAAAATCGATAATAAATTATTAAATATAATAATTAGAATAATGAAATTTCTTAATAGATTAGAATAAAAACCGTTTTTAAAAGTTTTGAATTTAAACGATCTAATCAATGCAAGAAAAGCTATTTTTATAAATTTGTCAAAAATCGTGAGTACATAAAATTCGCCTTAAGCCAGATCTAAAACATAGATTTACATGTTCGCTCGCCATCACTTTGAAATATGTTGGTGGATTACAATCATTTCCAACGCTTACCCCCTCTATAAGTGTAACTTATATATCGTGAAAAAGTATTTTTTATATTATTTGTCTTTGTTGGCTTGTAAGCCAACTAATCACCAAATGGCGTAACAATAGTTTTGTTTATTCTAAAATGACTGAAAAAAATGATTTTTTTTTTTTTATGAATAAGAGTGACAGGTAAAATGTCAAATTACTTCATCGAAATTACTTTGCATCGAAGGAAAGAGATCAAACAAATAAAAATCGCCCTTGTCCAGGTTAATGTTATACGTAAATAGATATTTTCCGTATAAGTATGATGGCAAGGCTTAACTTTACTGTGAGATACGATTCTAAGCAATGTTGTGATGCCTCAAGTAAATTTTAGAGTGTGGCTTTCGATTACTTAAAAAGTTTTCCTGTTATTCTTTGCTTTGTGAGAGAATTAATGCAAATTAGAAACGTAAAGGATATTGTCGGACAACATTTTTGTTAAGAGAAAAGATTAAGTGTCATGGCATTCAGATTTTTCGCATAATTTTATTACGCCGAAGCGTTACTGCTTAGCGAATTCTTTCGGGACATTTTGACAAGCATCAATTTTTGTGCCCATCACCGGCAGATGGAGGCTGTATTCGTTCGTAGTCAAAACGTTCGCAACGCCCAAAAGGAATCTTCAGAGACACCAGAAAATGTATATATTCTTGATCAGCATTAAATTCTGTATGAATTTAATCGTTTCCATATGTTCACCTGTTTATGTGTCTGTCTGTCCGGGTGGCTAATGTGTGTGTAAACATTGCCATGATGGCAAAAATGAAGCTATCAACATCAAGTGAAGAAGAAACATTGGAGGTTCTTGTAGATTGGTATTGAAATTGGACCAAGTCGATCGAAGGACACGGCCACAGTGCCAAGTAAGCTGAAAACACTTTTGTTTTTCACAAAGGAACGAAATTAGTTCTTTGATCATTACCCATAAACTGCAGAAGTGTTTGTTACTGGAGATACTAGCTTCCAGCACGGTTACCACATGTACATAAATATGCAAGCTTCCCCCCGAAGCATCTTGGCAAGCACCAATCTGCAGTACACCAATGCTGTTAACTCGTAAGTGGGTTCCTGACCCCCGCAAAGCTTAAAGTTACACTGCAAAACCTTTAGCTTTACTTTACGCGACATAGTCACTCTTGCCTTCGGAGTAACCATACAATCCGGACTAGCCAACAGCGGATTACTATTCCTCAAGATATATGAGCATCGGGTGCTATATCTGACATGATGGGCGGTACCATGCTCTCGATAGTTACTATATCAACGTATTTTACGTAACCGATTACCAGCTGGTTGGTTAGTATTTCCTTCTTAGCAACAGCCTATCAGAAAAGAGTGCTTCTTCCAGTGTACCCTTAAGCTATCTTTTATAAAACTTGTCGCCAAGTTATAGATAGTCCAAGCCTTAAACTCTTCTTCGCCGGTCAAGACCACTTCCAGGGGTCATGACGCGGAGGTGAAAGTTTCGGCACATTTACGCTCCCGTAAATGTCCCATAGTTTATCATCCCACTCATAAACTACATTAATTATATTTATAAAAATTATAAAGTATATTCTATAGGCGATGCTGTAGTACCCGTACAAAAACGATGCAAAAATTAACCACGCCTAGTTTATATTGTTGTATATTAATATAAAGTATGTAAATTCGTGGCCAGTTTCAAATTTGGGTTGGATCTAAGCATGTCCGTCCGTTCGTCTCTTCATCTGTCCGCCTGCCCAACTGTGTAGTATCTGTAGTAAACATTCTCCCGTTAGCGAAAATTAAGATATCGCTTACAATGTTCCGAAAAAGTTTGGAAGTGACCTAAAATTTTCAAAGGATATGTTTACAACGCTCACACGCCTTTTTCAAGATGCAAATATAAATTTCTTACTTGCTTTTATGTTACAAGCGGTCGTAACAATTGCACAACTTTCACAATCCAAGTGCATCAAATTTCGTCAATCCACCTCAAAAATTGCGGCCTGTAGATTAGAAATAAAACGCATGGAACGACATCATACGTGCGAATGGACATACAGACGAGCAGAGAAGCTTAAATCTATTCAGAATATGATTCTTACCCGATCGACATAATAAAAAGTCTCTTACAAGTTTGATACACCATTACCACAAGTAATGGAAGATGTAATAAACATCGTCTACAAGGAATCTGTCGGATGTAATTTTCAAAATATCGTTACGAAAATTTGTCTTTGTCATTCTGGTTTAGCAGCTAAAGGGATGATAGATAGATCAACGGTGAATTGTTTTGATATATTTTGATATATTTTACTTCCACAATTTACTAAACCTTAGTTGCGGGATTATGCATAAGCTCAACCAATATATATAACCAAAATGGATTCACTTTAGCATTATTTTATATATATGTATGGAAACATACTTGATATTAATATAAAGACATATAAGTAATAATAATACAAACACATCTTCAAAATTCCTCCCACATATAGACACATAACATTCCTTCCCTCTATGGGTTAAACGTAACAGACTCTCAAATAATCATATTTCAATTGGAAAAATTAGACGTAAAAAAGAAAAAAAGAAAAAGAATAATATGCACATTTCTCTATAATCGGTTGCGGTAAAGGGATTGTTTGCACGCGAATTGCATTTTCGCAATCATCATCAGTACAATATGAAAATACATTAAATATAATGGAACGTTTGCAAGCAACTGTATCCAATGGTAACAAGCGATAAGCCCAGCAGGTCCGCAGAAATAGGTCTAACGTTGGAAGTAGCACTAGTTAGTTCGAACTGTCACTTCAAACAAACTGCAAACAATTACTTGCAATATTTTTTCAGCGAAAAGAAAAAACAAGAAAAAAAAAACTATGCTAAAATCAGTCACAAAAGGCTGCTACATATAAGGACTTAACATCCTAATAAAGACACCCATAAAGACAAAAACAAATTGAAGAAAGAATTTATTATATTTATCAGTAAAGCATACGCCCTTTTACTTAACGTTATATATCGTGTAATAAATTATATTTGAATAGAGTTAGGGGATATCAGTGTGGTTTCACTGTAGGATGCCACGAACTCAGTGTGCGGTTAGGTGCCTTAAATCTCTTAACAAAGTTCAAATAATGATGGTGCGAAATTAATATTATATTACTCAACGGTACATGTTGTCAAAATAACGCCATACTATCTAGGAATGGTACAAGGAAAGAAAATGATTTACCTAAGACGATGAGAATTCATTGCATTGTATTGTTGTTGTTTGCGGTTTTGTTATTAACAATTCATTTACCACTACCAAAACTATTGTGCATGTAACAACGACAACATCTCAACAACATTATCGTCTCCCATCCCAAAAATGAAAACAAAAAAAAGGAAGAAATCTCTAAGCATGCAATATTAAGCAACGCAAAGATATTGATGCTATTCTCCGCGCGCACACACAACACGATAGTATTCATTTAGATTGCGATTCTTTTTCTTCGTAACAAATATACATATTTGTTAGTGTTACTATTACTGTTATTGTTATTGTTTTTGTTTTTGTTTTTGCTTTTGCTTTTATTTTTCTTATTATTTTTTACCATTATTTTGCAATACCGCTTTCGTCTTCTTCTGCAAGCGCATCGATTTGTTTAGTTAATACCCTCGTTCATTTCATACATTCGAGTTCCTTCATCGTCCGTTCCATGACCCAAGAGCTTATAAGTGTATTGCCATAAATTATGCTAAAGTTATGAGAGGGAGAATTCTCAGAAAATCCAGATTTTTATAATTTGCTACATTTTTGTTTATTTCCAATGCATTGTATTGCATTTTGCAAGTAAGTAATCCAAAGAGTTGGTGCGCGTGCGTTTATCCGAATAACTATAACTAACTATACGTATTGTGTTGTTATGCACATATGTATATATATATATATATATAATGCGCGGTATATACCAACCGACCGATTCGACCAATCAACCATAAATAAATTTTATTTCTTTAATTTGCTAAAATCATGAAAGAATCCAATGAAAATCGTGATCATTATAATGTGGAATTTTTTATGTGATTTGTGGTTACATTTTCGCATTTTTTTTTTTCTTTTCCATTTTCGGTTTTCTTTTCCTTCTTCTTTTTCATCTCTAAGAGAAATTTTCATCCACATTTATGATTCGCTATCCCCTTGTTTATCCTAAGGCGCATTTGCTACCGACATTACCGCAGATCCGATATTTCTTTAATGGTGACCGCTAACGAACTTCGTTGTCAATCGAATTTTGTCAACTTGACGATGGTATAGGACTACAAAATAAAACAAGTACTTTCTAAAACTTACATCCGTTTGTTAGTGCGGTCGTTTTAAGAAATTCAAATATTTTATTGGTATTAAATACTCCAGAAGCACTTTCAAGAGGTAAATTTGGTATTTTGCGATACAAATTTTCAGTCAGCATAAAATTGCCAAGTCATCCTTGTTCATTTGAAAAGAAAAGAAACCATCACATGAAGCCATCAACAGAAATTAAGCGCCAAGCAATCAATTTGTTTCTTACGCCATCTATGGTAAAAATTACGCTTGTGTGAATATAGGCAACCCCCAAAAACCACTTAATTAATTCAGCATCATTTTTTGGATCAACTTAAGCATTCATGTCCGTCGATCCGTCTACTATTTTTGCATTTACCCAACACGTATGTCGCAATTTTCAAAATACTTCGAGAAAATTTAGCATATTGGAACGTACTACCAATGATTATACGTCAGCCTATTTTTAAAAAGCCATTATATGAAAAAATTTTGCAAACTTTTTATACTACCACCGTCCATGCATGGGGTTATAGTTGTTCTGTCAGATCGTTTGCAACATCAAGAGGGAAGCTGAAGATACCGTACAAAGTCTGTGTGCATTCTTAGTTAGCATCAAATTCCGAATTGTATTAGCTTGATCAACGTCAAATTGTGAATCGTCTTGCCGCCCACAACACATGTGAAATCCTTCCCATGCCAAATCCAAGAAATAGCAACTCCAACACAAGAAGCAAAAAGTCGGAATCCATCTCTAAAACGCGCAACACTTTTTAGTATATATATATATATATATTATAAACACTGATATCGTAAGTGAGGGCTACTTGAAGATATGCCTTGATGTTTAGGGCATTTTCGTTCGGAGCTGATGATACGTGTAAATTGAAATACTCGTGCAAGCAATCCTTCTACGGTAACCAGCTATTAAGAAACGTAATCATTTTCTTATTTTCTGTGTCTCATTTTGAACCATTGCGTTGTTTTCAGTACAAGGTGTGCTGACCGAATGCCTAACCTTGTTACTTTGTTTTCAATTTAAAATTATTTAAATGAGAATGAATGTTGTTAGCCTAAGGATGAAAGCTATTGAAAACTGGTCGAACCGAATGTATTGAATGTATTGAAAACATCTTTATGAAGTGATATATGGCGTGAAATGCTTGATCTACCTTAACTTAATGTATTATTATCTAAAATCTTTTTTTTTTTATTTTGTTAATAAAGGCGAAATGTTCCTTCGATTAAATAAAGCAGAAGTTTTGATACTTACCTAGTTTTACTATTACTGGTACCTGGTTGTGTTTGCATCAATATCAGAGTTGTTCAATCGTTCATTTCACGGTCAATACATAAGTGATTAAAACGGCAGCAAAGGCTTTTAACGGAAAAAAGAAGGGTTAGGTAAAAACTCTATGATACAATTATATATCGAATTTATCTTTATGTGCAGTAAACTCCGAGAATCGTTCGCTATCCATTGCCAATATAGGAAGCAACTAAATGCCCCCAATAGACAAATTTCTTCGTATTATTTTAGCTCATTTATATATTCTCGATTACCTTACTTTTATTGACGACGAAAACACTTCAAAGCTTAGTCGAGAAGCATTGCACTATCTGTGCATAAAAAGATTTATTGAAAATCATGTAAAGCGTTAAAAATAATATAAATTCTTATTCGAATAATTTTGCAGTCTCTAATTTAGGCTCAGTCTTTTTCTTATAACCAGCTAATAACTGCTTCAACTTGATTATGGCCTTTGCAGGATTAAGATTCTTCGGACAGGTATTGGTGCAATTTAAGATAGTATGACAACGATATAGTTTGTAAGGGTCAATTAATTGCGTCAAGCGTTTCTCGGTGGCATCATCTCGAGAATCAATAACCCAACGATAAGCTTGCATAAGAACAGCTGGTCCTAAGTAACGATCGCTGTTCCACCAATAAGAGGGACATGCTGTTTGACAGCAAGCACATAGTATGCATTCAACGAGGCCATCTAACTCAAGACGATCTTGAGGATGTTGTAAGTATTGAGCACCACCTTTCGGCTCCTTACTTTCATTCTTGCGCTGCAACCAAGGTTGTATGGTGCGATATTGTTCGTAAAACTGTGACATATCCGGTACCAAATCTCGGATGACATACATATGGGGTAACGGATATAAACGCAAAGGAGCCGCGAGATTTCCATCTATCTTTTGAACACAAGCCAGCGTATTAATACCACCAATATTCATGGAACAGGAACCACAGATGCCTTCGCGACAAGAACGGCGAAATGCCAAAGTTTGATCCTTTTCGTTTTTAATTTTGATTAAAGCATCGAGAACCATTGTTCCACATTCATTTAGGTCTATATTATAGGTTTGCATTTTAGGCTTCTCCCCAGGCTTCCAACGATAAATTTGGAATGTCTTGATACGAGGTTCCTTCTTTTTCTGTTGTGGAGGCGCAGGTGGAGGCGGTGCAGCGCCTTTACCCGACGTATCCTTAGCAGCTCCTTTTCCGGACGCTGGTTGCTCTCCTTCACATTTTGTTGCTGTTTTTGCCTCTTTTGCAGCTGCCGTTGCTGCCGGGGCTTTACCAGATGCTGCTGTCGCTGGAGCTTTAGTGGGCGCTCCTGTTGCTGCAGCTTTACCCGATGCAGCCGTTTCCGGGGCTTTGTCGGCTGCTGCTGCCGCTGCAGCTTTACTGGCTGCAACTTTATTGGGTGCTGCTGCTGGATTTGCAGACTCCGATGGTGGTTTAGCTTTATCTCCTTCGCATAAAGTCTTACTATCTTTATCTCCTCCTGCAGGCGGTGTCTGCTTTGCACAAAAATATCTCAACAGATTATTGCGCGATCTATATAGAACACGTCCAAGCATTGTTCCCCTTTAACTATTTTATTTGATACTGCTTTTCAAAAAGAAAATTATTTACGACATTTATTTCAAGGAAAGAAATTATTTTTTATTATAAACTGAATGGCTAACAAGTAACTTAAAATTTCCATATCTTATATAAATACATACATATATGTAACATATAGCGATCCGCCCATCGACCCAATTTTCAGATCTGAACAAATGATAATCAGTAGCCGGCATGTCTGATGAGCGCGCTGGGTGCGGCGAAACTTCCCATTCGAGTTGCAATAGTGCATCCTTGACAACTCTTGCAGCAAGCGAACAAAAAACGGCACTTTCAGTCAATTCGCGTCGCCACGTTTAAACTGTCGGAACCCAAACCGACAATTGCTATATGATGGAGCAGCAACATCATAAGCCTGTGAACTTGTGTCGTGGGCTTCGGCAGCAGATTTCTTCAAATAAGCGACGAAAGTGATGAATTTGAAATAAGAAGAATTTTGAGCGCTCCATGATTAGCTTCGGCATACGCTGAATAAATCAACAATATTAAACGGAACGCTATTATTTCATATAAAGGAAGGACAAAACCATCGAATTCAACCGTTATGTACATTGGTATTCTCCATTTCTTTATTATGTTTACCTATGCAAGTCGCTGATCGAAGTCTTTGCAAACATCTAATACAATCTTACTTATGTGCAAATTAATATCACGGACTTAAGAACGGACAACAAATGCGCTTGAGCTTTCGCAATGCGCTCAACATTTTGAAAAAAAGCTCGTTTGCTGGAGAATTGTTTCAGATTCCCAAACAAATAATTATCGCTAAAAGCGATATATATTTAGAATATACAAGGATTGGGACAGAACCTCGGACTTCCATTCAACCTATTTTGCCATCAACTTGAACAAAGACGGGAGCGAACAGTTGCGGTCAGCTTGCTATAAAAAACGTGTTTCTTAAACATGTTTGTAGCTTCTACTATCTTTTTGACCTAAACACAAGACCGTCCCCACGGTTGGTAAACTTAAACGATGTCTCCGTCAGTGGTTCCAGTTTTTAGCACGAACTTATTCCCAAAAGGAGTCGAACAAATACGTGAAAATTGCAGAACGTGCTTTTCACCTTACAATATTTCATTAAGAAATTACTTGTACAGTAATGTCAAACTATTGCCTGTAAGTCATCGTATTGTGAGCAAAAGTCTGTACTTCGATGTAAGAAGACCTATTGCACTCACTTGTGCCTCCAGCCCTCCAGCTTTAGAATCCTTTCTTAGGTTTGGAGCACCCTGCAATGTTCCGCGTTATAAGCCAAACACCTGTTATCTGATTCTGCAGAAAGCCGCCCATTCACACCGAACATTGTGGGATGTTTCTTTCGCCCCCACACGCACAATCTACATGAATCGAATTTGATAAATCTTTTAGCTCGCCGTAGTGCTGCACTTACCTTCCAATGACTTGCTAATTTTTTTTGTTCCCATCGCGATATCATTCTGTTCATGTGACAAAAAGGTTTCGGACCCATCATAGCTCTGCTGAGTCGCCTGTTGGCTAAACAGTCAACAGTTTCATGCCTATAATCTATACGAAAGAACCAAATCGCAGCTTCAATGAGATACGATAAAATCGACAGGAAAGTCTTATATGAATTTTTACAATTGCTCGAGTTTCAAATAATGAAACGGAGACGATCGCACTAAATGAATGCATTTATTTTATGCATAGTGTTACCCACTTGCATAGTTTGGTAGTGAATATAAAATTATTTCAGCATCGCAGACATTCTTAGGTATATTTTAGGCATCGCTAAGACAATAGTTTAGAAAGGAAGTGGTCCCCTTCTCCACGGAATAGCATCACAAAGGTCAAGGCGTATTGCGATGGAATGCTCTACCAGGTGTGAAGAGATCGTTTGTTGTATTTTCATAGAAGCTACTTATGATTGTGGGTATGAAAGTGAATTCTCCACAAAAGAGCTCTGCCTTTTCTAATTTTCTATCAATAAATGGTCACACAATACATGGGCTTTTGACGAAATGTTAAAGTGTGAGAGCCTAAAGACTAGAAATCTCTGCTATGCGGTATTATTGACATATAGTAATTCCTTGCAAAAACTGAATAAAGTTTAATTACGGAAGAGAAAAGAAAGAAAGAAAGAAAGAAAGAAAGAGAGAGAGAGAGAGAAAGATAGTTTACACTTGTTTCTTTATTCACTGTAGATGTAGATTATAATAAACGTGTCGAAACTCTATATCCTCTTAGCCATTATAATGAGATTACGTGCTTAGTTAGTGCCTTTCAACGCTATAGTGTCTGGGAGATGAGACGTTTGTGTTAAAACTATTGATTTGCATAAATACTTAAGTATTTTGTTTCTATAAATATTTACACATAACTGACGAATGTAGGAAATAATTGGAATAACTGGTTTACTAAACATTATCAAGTTAATGACTTGAGCTCCACTCCTTCATTAAACTCTATCCTATTAAGCATACATTTCATAAATTGATTTCAAGAAATTATAAGCCTATGTGTAGTGTAGGTAGATTGTGTATCATAAGTAATACTGTACAAAGTATTGGCAAATAACATAAAAACGTATTCAAGTACGTAAGTCTGTTATGGTTCACTTCTCTTCTTCTTCTTCTATCCTTAGTCGTCGTAGTACGTATTTTCTTCTCCTTTTTAAACTAACAGCAGAATACGTGACAAATGGATATAATTTTAAATGTAAAGAACTAAATAAACAAAACAATTGTGGTTTAACCATAATTTATATGGAAATTGGTCTACACCCGCTTAAACACTCACAGCTAAACTCACGTACGAGCGCACATATGTTAGTTGTTATTGCGTTTCGAGATGCTGACAGAAATAAATAAATTGACATTCGATAGGGAAAATTTTACATTCCCTTCAAGGCGAATTTTGATTACTTAACAATTAATTTCGACTCAATGGTTATTTATTAAAATGAATACATAATCTTAGTAATAGGGTTAATCCCGCAAATTTACATTAGATAGCGTTCCATTTATTATCTAACCACATATATTACTTGCATGAACGATCGTAACATCGCGAGCACATTTTATAATTACGTTTTTTGGCTTCGTCAAAAAGAAGCGACGGCCCCTACGAAATAGAGAAACTGAAGATCACGCGTATTAATTTATACTCCTGTTTATAAGACTTTCATAATAAACGAAATAAGAAATTCAGTATACCTACGACCAAGAGGAGAGTGACTACATATAACAGAACGACAGCAAAATGCCACATAATTGATGATTATGTGTTGAGAAATAATCAAAAAAAAAAAAAAAAAAAAAATTAGTGAAACACATCAGGAATTATTTTTGATAAAAGTCAACTGTTTCAGTTGGATGCTAAATCACTTTATTTTCATTATCACAACTGCCTCAATCTATCAGTGTAGCAGGCAGTCACATATTGAAAGAAAAAGCTAAAAACAATTGACGCGTGTTAATTTCATTACAAATTGTCAATGAAAACTCGTACGGTTTAACCGTGCCGTTGCAACGGTTTGCATCGTTCCTTTGAATAAATGATCGCTATTTATTGGAATTGTCTTTTTTCGGGCATTGCGTATAAACTGAAATATCTGTGTATATCATATGTAGTTGTAGTCTTGTGTTTCATTCATTACAAGAGAATATATATATTTTTTTAGTTTCCTTCTCGCTAAAGTATTTGGTTAAATTTAATTCCATTAATTTTAGCAACAATTTCCCGGGCAATGTCTATAAACTTTTATATGCTTCAGCACTTTCTTCATTCGAGATTTACAAGTGATTTACATCAACAAATTTTATTGACGTTTTCCTGTTTCTGTAGATCTCATCCGTTCGTTTATGTTTTCTTATGCATAGCAATGAATTTCGCGATACAGTCAACATCTCTTGTTTGCGGGCGCAACAAAAGATAGGAATGCGGTAATTACAAGGTTCCCACTGACTCCTTACCATGTATTATCTTTATGCAAAACGTTATATTAACTTCATCATTACGTTTGTGACGTCTTTCCCGGTGAAGAAACTCTAATTAAAAAATTCATTCATCAGGAAATTGCATACATTTTTGATTAGATTGAGATTTCGAATTGACGTAATCGTAGCCGTACGATCATGAAATTAAACGGGGAACGTAAACGTTGATTCTTACATATTTTCGTTTATTGCTTTATACTAAGCAAACTTCTTACATTAACGCAATATGATTTCGAACACGTCCACATATAATACTCGTAGCTTGAAATCATTTTCCCAATGATTTGTAAAGGATGGCATACTCTGTTCTAAAATAAAATTCAAATCACTAAGAGACAGCGATCGGTGGACGAACGCACGTCGTGAGAACGGCCAAAAGTCTATATACTTTATGTGGTTTTTGAAGCCTGCTTCTACGCCTTATAAAGGTACTGAACGAATTTTTTTTGATGTGCCATAAGGTAGGTGTGGTCAACGTTTGGCATTTTTATACAGGTACTACAGCATCGCTCATAGAGTATACTTTGAAACTTCTGTAGATTTATCAGTTGGATTGTTTGTGAATTAAAACTTCTTCTTCTTCTTCTTTTTGGAGAACAGAAATTTTCCGACTTTACGTAGTACTATAGGCGTATCCTTTACACGATTTTTCCCATTGTAAATGCCCGCCTGCGTGCATGAACTTCGAATGTTTCTGCCAAATTTCAGGTCGAAAGGTTAACTTTTGCGGTTCGGAGAATATTTAAAGCAGTCATAACACGGACAGACAGACGGACGTGCTTTTATGAATTCCCAATTTTCTGCTGATCAAGAACATATTCTAGGATCTCTAAGGCTTCTTTCTGCGCCTTGAAACGTTTTGCTAAAATGAATGGGTATAATAACTGTTCAGATTAAAATAAAGTACGAGGCATTGTACTCAAACTCCACTAAAATTAACCCAATTAAGTAGTTGCTCTTAAATAGTAGCAGCTACTGAAAGATCGGCATACATA